GTTCCACTGCCATTTTAGTGAAGAAGAAAGAGAAAAGCCAGCTCCTTCAAGCTATATATACTCTATTATACTACTTATTTCCAATTCCACCTACTTTTGTTAGCTTGTTCTGAATTTGGTTAGATGAGTAATGAGCAGGATGGGTTTACTACCATTATGGCTTCTGGAACACATACAGGAATTGAGCTGGAATGATATTAATAGCTAAGTGATTAATTAGACAATCAGAAGCTCCCATCTGGAAAAAGCCTTTATCTAAATATGCTGCCTGGTTCCTCTGGGTTTTCACCCCACCTGATACTGCACACCTGTTATACACAACAGCGTCTCCTTAAGAATAAAGGCAGACTTTAACAAACACAAGACTTGAAGAGGGAAGTGCTGAGAGCAGGCCCCAACACCACTGGTGTTTTCACAGGACCCACAGATGCTCACATGTGATGAAGGCAATTCTCTGCAAGGACCAGAAAGGCTTCACTTGCCAGAGTCAGGTGTACAGTACAGTCCTAGACGGATGCTTAAGAGTAACCAGACATTGTGGAAAAGGGCTCCATGAGATATAGGCTGCAGTCTGAACAATGGCCAAAAGATTAGTTTGCTGCATTTGCTGGAGCCTCATTCGGCAAATTTGCAGTGTCCTGAAGAGAAGTGCAGGACAGCACCAGCACACTCAAGGCAAACCACCCTGCAGTCGGAGCGCCTGGGAATGCAATCTCCACCAAGCGACATCTCCTTGTAAGCTCAGTATCGCTCTGTCTCAGTTATTGACCCTATTTCTTCAGGACCTGACTTCATACATACCACATCTGTAAGTAGGCCAGTATGATCCTGTGGCTAGTGATTTATTAGCAAAAATTAACATATTAACAACTTTTGGCTCAGCTGAGGTCAAATCAAAGATCTTTGGAGGATCTGTGAATCAAAACAAGCCCCAGTCCCCAAGTGACCCAGATGAGCGCACAGCAACTCAAATCCTCACTGAAACTGTCTAACGTTCAGCTACATTAGGAACTGTTGGCTCTGAAGTGTAACACTTTAGAGATTGCCAAGTATTAGAATTGTCACAGCTCAAAGGAGCAATAGCACACACATCAGGAGTACCTGATGATAAAAGTCTGAGTAAATCCATTGTATATCTTTAAATATCTGTGCCAATTCTGAGCTACAGTAGGTCACAAAAAGTCTAAGATCCATAGGGCAAGGTGTAGGAGGAGTGGCTGAGGTCCCTGGATGTACTCAGCCCAGAGCAAAGAAGCTGAGGGGAGGCCTCATGGCAGCTGCTGCTCCTAACAGGGAACAGAGGGGCATGGCTGAGCTCTGCTCTGTGACAGACAGGGCCCAAGGGAACGGCATGGTGCTATCAGGGGAGGGGCACTTGTCACTGATCTCCATCCAAACACAGAGCGACTGACCACCATTCTCTGGGTACGGTCCTACAATTCTATCATTTCTTCTCCAGTGCAAACAGTGCAGCCTAGTATGCTGAAGTACTTAGGTACATCCAGGGGCATAAAAATATTCTTCCATGTTTTACATCACTATGAATCCCACTTAAGGGATTCATCTCATTTCCACTTCTGCTCTTTTAACAGCAATAGGTACCAATTTTCTGCCAACTGATTGTCTAGACTTAAGCACCCTTGACATACTATTTGCTCTTCTGCTTTGCTCCGAGGGAGACAATGACTATCTCCCTCCCACTCAGAGCACCAATGCAAATCCTGCAAGAACTGCTAAGACACTTTTAAATTACTCTTCTTCCCCCCCCCATCCTCCTGCTTGGAGTAACAGTGGAAAATAATAAGGAGCTTGACATAAAGAAACGTGCCACCTTGAAACAGATGACATTATAACCAAGCCTGGCAACACCTATATTCATATTGCCTCATCTTTTTTAATGTCTGAGCTTAAGGGATGAAAAATCTACTCAGCAACACTGCACATTATTTTTCAGCACCTACACTGAGCAGCTCAACTATCAGCAACATCCATGCGCAGGCCCACTGTCAGGGCTAGAGCTGGTAACAGAATCTTTGTAAGTGCTCTCTCAAAGTTTTACACTAGCTAGTTCCCAAAATAACAGGCAGTAGCAAAAAGACAGTGAAGACCTGTTTCAAACTGAGACATTTTCAGATCATATTTACCATGCTACGGAAGACTACCAGGCTGAATACATCTACATACATCTGTGTGTGTATACACACGTGTGTGTGTACATATATACATATATATACACATACACACACAACAGAAGAAAATAAGGCTGGAAAGTAGTCCATGTGGCATCAGTCCTTGGCCTTTTGCATGCTCTCATGAAACTGCTTCATCATCTCAACTGATCCCCAAACCCACAAAAAAACAAACAAAGCAACACCAGTTTCATAAAATGACTATTTGAAATAACAGGATAACCTGGTCTCTGAGTTCTTCAACAATTCTCAAAACATTGTGCAAAACTTGGTAACTTAATATACACCACAGTCTTGCCTCATACAGCATACTTAAGGTTCTCCCCTATTTTGTGATGTACAGCAACCAAGTCAGGCAGCACAGAAATTGCCCAGAATCAAAGAACATGGGACTCCAGAAGTAAGTAAGAGAGTCAACAATGAAAAAAAACAGGATTTTCAGTTTCCTAGCATATGGTAGTTTAGTGGAAATGCAAAGTCACAGTCTGAGACAGTGACTGAGCTGGGGCCAACCCAGGGGAGCTCAACTGCATGCAATCCACCTGAGCGATTAGAAGGAGTGGAGCCAGGATCCACCCCCTTCCCACAGTTCATTTAAGGGTTGGCAATGGAGCTGTGGGCATCTTTTCCTAGAGATTCCCACCTACCTGAGGCCATCCAAAAATAAGCAGCTCTCTTCCTTCATTTCAGCATCCATGGCTGCTGTATTTGGGCTCATTGTCATTTGCTGTACCCAAAGACTTTGCTAGCCTGCTATTATTATCCCATTACAGCATTACAGGCAGCATCTCTACTGTATGGCAGCCACACTCCTATCATAATGCGAGCTTCCAGGAATGCATCTGTGCTATTACATAGTAAGAGCAACTGGTACCTTTCAGGTACTTATCCCACATTCACATTCATTTACTCACTTCAGCTTCATGCAGAGATCTGATTCTCCTACTTAAATTGTTAAATATTATGTAGAAACTTGGGGATGGCAGAACAACTGTTTTAATTTCATATATAAATGTACTTCTTCCTGGGCATCAGCAATACATTACTAATTCTTCTGTGACAACTGAAGGGCAAAATGCCAGGTTGAACTGCTTTTGAATAATGACAAAAGAAGACTGAATCACCTGCAAAGAGCAAAACGTTCAGTTTAGCTACCAACTAGATCATTACCACTGGATCCCAGCAGTGCATCAGAAGAGAGCAGCACACGTTCCTACCTCTGGAAATCACTATGACTTGCCTGTTTTTCATCAGTCCACAACTACCATTAAGTGAGAAAATAATCACAGGCACCACACTGAAGTTTGGCAACAGCGATCTACACTTTTCCTGTGCAGAGATCAGTTCCTGGCTCTAGTACAAAGACTGATGCAGTTTCTTGCTCTTAAAATTGAAGTGCTATGTTGGTTCAATGTTTGTAAAACTACTGCATTGGTAAAATGAAGGAAGCAAAACTAGCAACACCAGATATAAACTCAGTTACAGGAAATGAGCATTAGGAGCCTAGATGACTTAACTGAGGCACATCTAGGCCACTGGCTGCATGCATCCCAGTCCAACCTTACCCTGCATCAACCTAGTGGCAGCTCTTCCCCGTCAAGCAGCCTGGCTCAGCCCCAGGCACACACCCATCACTCAGCAACAACCAAACATCGGTGTGCTACTAACACTGTCTGAACTGAAATCAGGAGAAGGGCAGAGTGCAGTGCAGTAGTAACTCAAGTTATGCAACTAAATTTGAGCATTTTGATAGCTTGGATAAGCACAGTCCTGTGAACAGTGACAAACATACAGCCTTCCTTTCAGTTTTTCTCAAATTCCATAAAGGAATTTGACAATAGGTTTCAAGATCGGAAAAAAAAAAAACTTTTTTTTTTTTTTTTTATTTGCGACTCCACTTTTAGTCTTCAAAATAAATTGCCTCCAAATTTTCAAATGGGATGTACAGAGCTGCCATCAGACATTCAACTCAACAATGTGACTGTCTCTCTTCGCCAGATTTTACAAGCCTCCTCTTACCAGCGAGAAACATCTCTTGCTTAACAGTCATGCCTTATTCCTGTGATTGCTGTCAGGCAGTACATACATTTCTAAACAATATTTTCAAGGATGAAGCACAGGAAGAGTAAATTTCATCAAAAACCCCCAAAAATGCCTTCAGAGCTCACTAAGAACCACAGCCACTGCCAGTGAACCACACTGATGCATCAGTTTCACAGAAACAAAGTCACATATCTCACTGGTGCTATGGTGTGGTTGCTCTTTTTTAAATGTTTTAGTATTTTTTTTTTAATGTTAAAAAACAAAATAGGCTTTGTTACTTATATACAATAACTATATTATATACTTCATATGTGGCCTAAGTAAATTCCTCTTTGTTCAGCTGGCCCAGGCCAGCCAAAAGGTTGGACACCCATGCTCTACTATAAGGGATCCAATAACTTCAGTTAAAACAACATTCATTTCTATCCTATGTTCAGTTGCACAGAAATCTGCAATACTCTTGAAACTATTTTCTGTCCTAAACAACCTCCCAATGCAGCACCTATTGTACCGCAAGCACACTCAGATTACACCACTAAGCAAGCAGCTCACTCCCAAGGTTTTGTTTTTTACGATCTGCTGCGCCAAATGAGCACAAATTACCAAAGCTCTGAGGGAAACAAAAGCACCTTGAGGCATCTGCTGCCTATGTCCCACAGCCTGGACAAAAAATAACACACACCAACAGAAACCAGGCCCCATTTAGCTCTGCACCATGGATGGAAACCAACACACCAACCTGCCAAACCCGGCCCGCCGCAGCCTTACCTTACACGTGGCTCTGGAAGCTTCCGCAGCCCCGCTGGCACGCGGCACAGCACGTCCCACCCTGCTCGCGGCCAGCCGCCATCTTGTGCAGCCGCCATCTTGTGCAGCCGCCCCGGCGCTGCCCACCAGGTGGGTGCTGAAATGGCGGCCGGCGCCGTCTTTGTCACACGCGCGTGTTTTGCAGTCGCCGTTATACAGTTCTGGGAAAAAGGAATGCTTTGTTTTGTCTTTTATTTTCTTCTCCTGTCTAAAGATACATGTTCTCACAAGCTATTGAAAAATGGCTTTTCTAGCAGAAACGTACAGTGGAAACAGAATGACTCATCCTGCAGCAGGGTTACTTGCCAGGTATGCACATCTCAATAGTATGTCTATTCAGTGAAAAAGCTTCGGATTTGAAATACAATTGTAAACAAAGGAGAAAAATAAACCAGAACTTCAGAGCGGTTTAATCTTCCAAGGAAAATGAAAGTGGTCATTTAGAGTCATAAAATCATTTGAGTTAAAGAGGACCCTTAAAGGCCATCTAGTCCAACTCCTCTGCAATGAACTGGGACGCTTACAGCTACATCAGGTTGCTCGGAGTCCTGTTCAGCCTGATCTTGAATATCTCCAAAGATGGCGCACCCACAATTGAACAATCTGTTTTAGTGCCCCACCACACTCACTGTAAAAGACCTCTCTCTTATATCCAGTCTAGATCTTCCCTCCTTTAGTTTGAAACCATTTCCTCTTGTCCCACTACCACAAACCATGCTAAAGAGTCTGTCTCCTTCCTTCTTACAGCTCCTCTTTAGATACTGAAAGGCAGCTCTCAGGTCTCCCCAGAGTTCCAGCTCTCTCAGTCAGACCTCATAGGGAAGGTGTTCCATTCTCTTGGATCATTCTTGTGGCCCTCCTCTGGACACACTCCAACAGGCCCATGTCATTCCTGTACTGAGGAATGTACATCCACATCTGGATGCAGTACTCCAGGCAAGGTCGCACCAGCACAGAGGGGCAGACTCACCTCCCTCATCCTGCTGGCCACACTTCTTTTGATGCAGCCCAGGATACGGGCTGCAAGGACACATTGCTGACTCATGTCTAATTTGCCATCTGCCAGTACCCCCAGGAACTTGCACTTTGATTTGTTGAACCTCCTGAGGTTCACCTGGGCCCACTGCTCAAGCCTGACTGGGTCTCTCTGAATGACACCTCATAAAGCATGTCAAGCACACCACACAGCTTGACTTTCACACTCCCATTGTGTGTAACTGGGAAGTACAACGCTAGGTACAGTTCTTTTGCTCCAAGGACTCTTGCAGTATGAAGCAACATTTGGCTTCTCTGCTGTCCCCTTCACAAGAAACAGCAGCATCAATTTCTCTACAGGATCAATACCTTTGTTTCTGAAAGGGATATACTCATTTTTAAGTTATCTGGGAAAGAACAAATGCAGCTTCACTGCAGGGATTTAATTTTAGAACTCTTTTCAGCCCCTAGATGAGTTCAGGTTATAGCTCTGGGCAACAGATTAATTCAGGGGAAAGAAAGTGTAACAAAAAGCTGATGTTGGTGAGAGCTGTTTCAACAGGTGGGAGGCTCTAGAGTAACAAAGGTGAAAGGTGAACAAAGCACAGGAAAAATACTTAAGGGAAAAGTCTTTTGTTGGCCAAGATAGCATCATATATCATTTGCGGCTAAACATCTGTGCCCTGTAATCAGTCCCAGTGACATGGGGGATAAAATCATCAGCCTGGAAGAGGTCTAACAGGTATAACTAAAGGTTATCTAAAGCATCATTCTCTTACAATATAATAATAAAAAAAAAGATGATTCTGTGAAAAATACAATCAAAAGCAAGTCTCTGTAATTCATATGTGCAGGGTCAGAATTCATGACTCCTTCCTTTACCATAACAGCTTCGACAGATACTAAAGAGTATTTGTTTCATTAAGTAGAAAGTTTGGCCTGAATTTTTAAACTCCTTTAGTGACTCTAATCACTTTTTTGTTTCTGCCTCTGTTGACTTGGGGTCATGACTCTACTTAAATTCAGTGTGTCTTACTTCTAGGTAATATTAAAATCTGCACAGAGCATGTCTCAATTCAGAGAATGAGGACTGCAAAAACTGGTAAATCATTACACATTGGTACTGACTACTAGGTCGAGCTTTGCTATCCTATTTATCTGTCAGAAAACATGGGATTGGAGTCTTGATGGCAGGTCTGTACTATGCAAGAACATACACTGAGCTCAATGCCCTCCTTACTGTGTCTTATGAATAAAGCCCAGAAGCCCTGAATGCTTATGCTTTATTTAGCATTCAAAATTGCTACTAATTTGCAAATTTGGAGAATTAAAGTTGAGATTGTGCTGTTTCTTAATTGTAGAGCAAAATTCTATTAGACATCCAGCAGACACATATTTCATCCTTCTCAAGCATCTGAAATAGCCATTTGGTTTGGGATGTATGTATGCATGTCTAACACAGGGCAAAATGAGGGTCTCTTCCATTATGAAATTTTGAATGGAACTTAGCACATTTAAAAGAACAGAGCTGCTCAGGTTTTTATGGCAGTAGATCTTTTCACTTAACCTTTTGGGTTTTATACAGTATTTCTGTGCACACAGATGCAGGGAGATCCACAGATGGTCACAGTGCTTCTGTGATATAAGCCACTGCCAGCAGAAAAATGAGTTGTCAGAGAGGGTTCACACCAAATGTATGCTGTGTTATATGTGACTCTCTCCAGATGATCCTAATGGTCATGGAAATGAGTTCTGCTTGGCATATACCACAAGAGCTGCTAACTGAAGGCCTCTAAAATGGGCCTATTAGGAAAGATGGAAATAATGAGATGTTGTGCTATTATTATTTTTTTTTTTTAAGCTCATTAAAATGGAACAGCTGTTGTTTAACAGCTAACTGCAAGAAGTGAATACCAAAAGTAACAGATACTGCAGTTAAGGCTGACTACCTGCCCTTTATCCAAGTAATTTGCATATCATACAGTCAAAGATTGGTATTTTTGCATGCTTGTTTCCTAATGACAGGTACAGCTGCTGCTAAGAAGATAACAAATGCATCACACTAAGGGTCCCAAAAGATTGCCTTCTTTCCCATCTTGGTGAAGAATGAACACAAACCTGATCTATCTTCATAATACACAGACTTGGAAGTCAAGACATAACTGGAAAGCAAAAGATGTGATTTGAGACTCCTCAAGCAAAGACTTACAGGAACCAAACCTAGGTCTCCTTTCTTGCTAATGCTCTGGACAACAGGTTCTTAATTACAATGTTGGGGGGAAAGGCAGCATTACCCTTCCAGCCCATTATTAACGAGCAGTTAGAGCTGTGTTCTGCACAAAGCTACGTGTACTTGGTGCAATGGGAGCATCCTTTGTAGACCAGCCTTCTAAAGAGCAAGAGCACCTAGTTTGAGATGTTTGCAAGTGTACAGCAATGACTGAACTATTATTCCCTAATGAAACCTGGGAGCCTGAGGCACAAACACACACACACCCACCCAAAAAAGAAATCTAAGAGAACTTCCTAGGTGTTTTCAAAGTTGATGTGCTAGACATTCTGAGAATCTTATTCTTGCAGCAAACTGCTTCTACAACTAAAAAACTATATGGGTTGTAAAACCTTTGTCCCTTCAACCCTCAACATTGCCCTAGTGATTATGTGAGAACTGTTTCAAGGCACATAAAACAGCTTAGTTTAAACTCTGCTAATTTAATAGTTGAACTCAGAGGTATAACTAAACTTCTAAGCTTCTAGAGTTACTTCTGGCAACAAGTAGTAGCACACAAATACAACTTCTTCCTACCCTAATCCTTTGGAAGATTTTACCCTACTGTTTGCCAGTACTGCCCAAATGAAGTAGGGAAGCATGCTAAAGACATAAGTACATGTAAGTAATGTTACAACAGTAACATTCCCAAATTCTGGAAAAATATGTTTACTAGTTTACAGGAGACATCTGTATACTAGGCCATCCACTATACTTCACAATAGTCAACTTTATTTAAGGAAAAATCTCCAAGGTCCTTTGCTAGGACTCAAAAACCTTAACCAGAGGTTGAAAATTTTAAGAAAAATAGCACTAATAAAAGCAGTCTCACACACTGCCATATGTTAACACTGACTGTTAGCTAAAGATAGGACAAGTAAATGTCTTTGATTAATCACTTTGCCCCTGCATGGCCGCAAACCAAAAGTGAACAAGGTATACATTCATCATTCACTATGATCAAAAAATGAGGAGCCCATCTACTAGTGTCTTGGCATACTCAAAATATCTTTACTTGGGCAAGAGCTAGGTATATAGTAGATACTAGAGTTCTTAGGGAATAAACATTCTAGAGCAAAAAAATCTCAGTTTTATTTCTGTACATATATTCTTTCCTCATGAGCAAGATATAGCTATGCCTTCAATAATCTTACAACAAATACCATTATGAGTTAAAGAGTTTTTTGGATCTGTTCAACATCAGATCTGCAGAAGTAATTTCAGCAAGTCTCTTAACATCTGTGAGAACGGAAGGATTCAAAAGTAGCTATAGGGACAATGTAGCCATGTCACAGAAGTATAGACAGTCCAGGCGAGATGCTATGGAAGTATTTTCTTGATCATTTCAACCTTAATAAGGTTGTCATTAAGCTACCTGTTAGCCTTCCTGAAACAATGAATCTCATCAACCTGAAGCATTCAGCATGACAAGTCACTAAAGCATGTTTCCTATGGGATTTGCAAGAAATTTCAGACCAAGAAAGTAGCACAGTCAGCACAAGTTTCTTTTTAAGAACTATCACCTTCACAACCAAAGTTAACACATCCACTACAGAACTGAAACAATTTTTTTCAGCATATACTTCGTGTAAACTTATGTACTGTAGGCTTCACGTGTCAAGAATAAGATTCAAAGCCTAGTCTTTTAGTCTGAAGCCCCTGCAGGGCACGTTAGACTATTCAGTCACATTTTCGTAATCAGGTTAATGCCTCCCAGTACTCTGTGCCACCCAGGTCACCACCAGTGTGATTCTCAAGGGACACATGAATGTAAAAGGATATACCAAAATAGGAAAAATAAGGTATTACAGAG